AATGGGGCAGGGTTTTTAAAGCAAGGGGGGGCATGGAGTCTACAGACTACATAGGAACAGACTCAGGATTGGTTTATGTGAGTGGCAATCATGTTAGTAACTTTTAATTGGCTAGGGTTAGTTGTGGGGGAGGTACAGTTATCCATTTGGGGGCAGGCCTGAACAAGTCCCAGGCTTTGTCCTTGAGCTGCTGTGGAGGCTGGCTGGCCTAGCATGTTGTACTGACTGTGAGGGCTGACTCAGTGGCCCAAGCTTTCACAGTGACCCCATGCATACAGCTCTAAGTTGGTGAGGGGTCCCAGACAGTAAACAACTGGCTGAACCTTGAGCAGTTAGAGTATGTGCAGAAAGGGAGCTACTGCAAGGACTATGTCTTTTGTTCATGGCCCTCCCAGAAACTGTTTGCTCAAGTCTCAGGAAACTGAAATTGAGGCCTGATCTCTGAGAGAAGACTGAGCAGCCTGTTATGGTGTCTGCTTGGTCCTTTCAGGTAGAATGACCTCAAAGCCTCACTGTAAATGATTTTTTTCAAGTTCATAATTTATTCTTCTTGGCCAACCCTGACTTGAGTAACTTATAGTTTAAGCATTAACTGTGCCAGTAGAGTGATCAAAATGTACACTTTGCTACCCATCAAAACAACCCCAGAAGATTTTGAGTATTTCATCACTATAGTTTTACCTATCAGGAAAGTGAGGCTCAGAGAAATGGTGCCTTGTGCTAACATCACAGATAGTTGGCAATAGGCAAAATTTGAAAGCACCTTTGATCTAAGGACATAGCTTGCTGCGGGCCGCAGGAATATCATAAGAACTCAGCTGGTTATGGCAAAGTCACTACCTGGAGGGATCAGGGAATTCCTCCAGAGGAAGCCAAATCCCAAGGAGTTTTTGGTGTTACTTGGCTTGTTATATATCAGCTGTCTTCTGTTATGAAAATCATGTGTGCCTTCATAGTTTTCCCAATTGACTTTTCCCTAAGAAGGGCTAACAGTGTAGACTGATCACTCTCTGGACATACACATTCCAGGTATTTGGAGAACAGCCTCAGGAAAGGCTTTCTCTGGAATCAGATTATCTATCTCCCTTGGCCACTTTCAAGGACTACAGGAAACACCACCCAGGTGGGCGCCCATTGTTAGTCCCAGGTGGACTAACAATGATTAACAGCCCACATGCAAGTCTCCTGACTTACGGTAAATTCCACAAGGAGACACCGCCTAGGAGAGGTGGACATTAAGTAATAGCTTTACACAATTTATCTCGGACCCTCCCTTTATATACCGAGACTTCTAGGAGGCAGAGGAGAAGAGAAAGGAGAATGGAAGAACTAGATGGGTAAGAACTTGAGAGGAACAAACTGAGATGGGGAAGAATTAGATTGAAGGGCTACAGGAGAGTACTAGAGGAATGAGATGGAAGATGAGAAAGAGCCAGGTGGGGAAGAACAAGATGAAGTAGAACGAGAAGAGGAGAGAGGAGACGGGAGAGGAGATGATATGGGAAGGAACAAAGTGGATGAGAACCTAGAAGGGGCAGAGCTAGATGAAGGAATTAAGACAGAACCTAGAGGGAATGGCAGACAAGTGTAGAGAGAAATCAGGCTAAAGATGACCTAAATATGAGAGCAGAATATAAGCTTATAGCTGTCACAGAATAATAAAGTATATGGATTAAGGAGTTTCGTGTACATAGATTCATTTCTTCTCATCAAAGATTAATTATCAGCTGGTTGTAGATTCTTCCCGGACCCTGGGAGGGGACTATCGAGGGGCTGGACCCCCATAGTCCCTGATAATAGCTGATATTTTTATTGAAGTAACTCTGCCTTCCTATGGAAGCCAAAAGCAATACCACACTTATTTACTAGACTTGGGGTTTGGGGAAGAATGTTCCAGACTAAGCTAGAAAGCATCACAGTTAAAGATAGGTCTTCTTAGAGTAAGCCAGAAAATCTGAATTGACAATGGATGACTGGATTTTAAAAAAGTGATATATACATACAGGGATATTTTAGTCAACCATTAAGAATGAAATTAACTAGATGTGATGGTGCACACTTGTAATTCTACAATGTGGGAGGTCAAGACAAGATCTTCTAAAAAGCAAAAGAAACAAAAAGATAGAAAATGGAATTCAGACATTTTCAGGAAAATTGATAGAACTGGAGATCATAACAAGTAAAATAAGCTATTCTCATATGTGGTATCTAAGGAAAAAGAAAACAAACATGAATGTAAAAGGGAGATTATTAGGGATGGGAGTGACTATGACCACAGTATATGGCATGCATACATGAAAAGGTCATAAGAAAATCTTTACTTTGTACAATTAGTATATGTTAATTAAAAATAGTAGATGGAACCTGTGGCCATGTTGGTATTCAAGGACCTCACTGCCATGGGGGCCATGTCAATCCAAGTGGCCTGTGCAGCCACATGGGGCTGGACCCAGGCTGCTGCCGTGGACCATGTCTGGGTCCCTAGCCTAACAGCAGCCAGGGTCTGGGCTGATGTTCATGGCTTGTATTTATTACCACAGAGGGTCATAGGAACCATGCATGTCGAAATCCAAGGGCAATGCTGAGCCAGCCCTGTCCCTTACTGGCCCCGGGATAGCTGGCCTTGCCCCTCGCTGGACATTGCAGCAGGAGAGCTGGCACTGCCTCCCCCTACCCCTGTGGGAGAGATGGCCCCACCCCTACCACAGGCTTGGGAGAGCTGGCCACATCCACGATGGCATGGGCCTAGGAGAGCTGGCTCTTTCCCTTGCCCGACAGGGTGGTCTCAAAAACCAACCATCTCAGCTACCATCCAGACCCACATCCTGGGCCTTGGGTTGCCCCACCCTACTAACTGCCCCATCTATGGCCTGCTGGAGTTCCAACAGGGACTGGTCTTGCAGAATGATAACCGCAGGTTCTCCATGACTCAGGGCAACAACAGGATATCAGAGAGGAGTTTCGGCGAGAATCCAGTGATGATAGTGTACCAGAGGCCTTGAACCGGACCAATGTCTCATTGCAATAATCACTGGAGGGTGGGGCTGATTGGACAAAAGGGGTCTACTGTGTGACACACCACAGCTCCCGATGTCACTAGGATGCATGAAGAGGTGCTGGAAAGATGGAGGAGCAAGGCGGGTTTTTTTGTTGTTTATTTTGTTGTATTTTTAATTAATTTGGGAGGGCATACTGCAGAGGTAAGGGGCAGATAAGGAGGGACTGGGAGGCGAGCGGGATTGGGGTGCATGAAGTTAAATTTCCAAAGAATATGTTTAAAATGAAAAAAAAAACGGTAAATGGATAATGTGATATAAATATACTGTATATAAAGGTATGAAATTTTCAAAGAATATTTTTTTTAAAGAAAGAAAAGGGCTGGGAATGTAGCTCAGTGGTAGAGTGCTTACTTAGAATGCAGGAGGTCCTAGGTTCAATTCCCAGAAGAAACAAAAACCCAAACAAACAAAAAACATGAGTGCAGAAGTGAGACAACAAAGAGAACTGTCTCAGACCTTGGGGTCAACTACGAAGCAGAGAAATCTTCCCTCTTAACCTATTCGCCAAGCCTTCCAAGAGCTCTCTAAACAAACCACACATTAAAAAAAAAGTTGTAACTTCTTCACAGCTCTTTGAGTGCAGCACCGGCACTTTGGCGTGGATTTCCTAGAACAGGATGGTCAGGAACTAACCGCTCTGGCATCAATGTCCCCAAGCCCTGCTCCTTGATGCACAATTAACCCACGTAAGTGCTCCAGGAAATGCCTAAGGGTTTTTTGGAAAAAAATAAAAATAAAAAGCCTCTTGGAAACAATTCTCAAAAGCATAGGTAGGCAGCCTCTAGGGATGTATACTGGGTCCAGCAGGACAGGTTGTGCCTCCACGCACAATTGCAGTTTACTATCACCCTTTCCATCTGGCTCTCAGACCAAAAGAATCATCAGGCTCCCATACCGCCTTGATCGAGATCAGCTACCCTTGCTGTCACGAGAGTAATTAATGGTGGCTTCACAGGACTCTGGAGTCAGGGGCTCCAGCCCTCGGCTAATGAGAACAACTGTGGCTGGGGTGGAGCTGTCTTCAGTGCTTGCCAACAACCCCAATCCTCCTGTGTCCGTCGCGCTTCCCAACAGGTCCTCAAGGAGGCACAAGAACAGGAAGCTTTTGCCTCGCTATTTTGGGCCCACTCAGGTCTAGATACAGATTCTCAGGCAGAAAAAAACGCCCTAGCACTGAAAATCTGGCATCCTCAGACCTAATAGCCCCAGCGCGGTCCCAATAGAAGAACGGTTTTCCAGTTAACACCATTGTATCTAGTGGCCATTGGGCCAACCCTGAAAAAGTTTGTTTCCAGGGGTGGGAACAGCAGGGGACCAATTGGAGGACTTGAAGTAGTGCCAGTGGGCTAATCCTAAAACTCCAGAGACCACTGGTGGCTGTTGAAGGTGGAGAGGAATCGGAGGGTTTCGCTAGATGGAAGCTCCTAGTCTTCAAAAGAAAAAACTAAGAAGCATGCGCAAGGCCACTGTGACACACAGACAAGACAGATCAGAATCAGCATCCCAGAAAATCTTATTAAAATGCGAATCCTTAAGCTACAAGCTCTTTAGCTCTCCAGGGCTTCAGGGTGTCGGGTGGGGTCCAGAAATCTGAATTTTAAAAATGCTTCCCCAAGAACCTCCCCCTTGAGGCTTGAGACTCTGAGCGGGTCAAGGCTGTTTTAAACAAAGTTGTTCCCCCACCTGCACTGATTACTTTAAAGCTGTTGGGAAGATGTCCTTACTTAACTCAAGACTCGGGGCTCGTCCCACCCACTCCCCTAGGACCAAGAAGCTATAAGACCGGAAATAGGAGCTCTTCCAAAGCAGCTTGAAGCTAGGTGGAAGACTGGGAGAGTCCCAGCCATTCCCACGTCAGCATCTTTGTGGGCTATAAGAGCGGGCAGCGTGGAGCCTGCCGGGAGATGTAGTACTCATCGCTGCTCCGCGCCTGCGCCCTGAGCAGTTGCCGGTGAGCTTGGGAGAGCCGTGGGCGCAGAGGCGGTGAGTCCCGGAGCGGCCAGAGGGCGTGGCTGTCCCTGGGGCGCGGGCGCGGGTAGCGGGGCTCTTTTCGCAGGCTGGGGCCACACAAACTGGCAAATTTCGTATGTGCCCTGGGCGCCAGGCCCCAGGAGCAACGAGGAGCGGCGGGCCCCTATTCGTTCAGGGACCCCGCCGCCGCTCCCTACGACCCGGCCAGGCCTTGCTGGGAGTCCTCCAGGACTGGGAGTGCCCATCTGGGTGGTCGGACATCGTCATCTAGAAGCTTGGGGGGACCCCATCCCTAACACTGGCATCGGATTTTAAACCAGCTTTTAGATTTGGGGGGGACATGTCACGCTTGCTGTTTCCCTAAGTGCCCTCTTTTCTTACATCGCTTTATGGGTAGGCCTGTGAGCGTGGATTCACTGAGGGGAGGTTTGAGAGGGAAAAAAAACAGTGTTTCTTAATGAAGTTTTCACTAGGTAGGGCCCAGGAAAGGAAACCTAGAGGGCCACTTCCCTGGTAGACGTGGTGGATGGTTTTGGGTCAGCCAGGGGAAGGCTGGCCAGCTGTGAGGCTGGAGAAGATTAGCAGAGGGTCCACAGCCAAAAGACTGCAGATCCTTGGATGTTCTCCAGCAACGGTTACATGCTTGGGCTCAGGAAACTAGAAGCTTCCTAGGAAGGAGTCTTGACCAGCAATAAATTTCACATGAATCCTTACCTTGTGCCAGGCACGCTGCTATTCACGTTCTGTGCCATTTGGTCCTTGAAGGATATTTTTATGAAGTTGATGCTATCACCATGTTCATGTTGCAGACAGGGGCATTTGGGTGCGAGATTTACACAGCAAATTATGCCTAAATCCTGGCACAGAAGTATAGGTTACTGTCACGGTAACGGGTGATACAGAGTCAGTTTGGTTCAGTTGACTGAATGGGAAGAGAATCAGGACTATTTTTTTCTTGAATCTCTTTAAAAATCTTAAATAACACAGGTATATGTGGAACTGCGACAGCAAAGGCAGAGAGAGTGGAGATCCGTAGTATATCTGCATATGCAGATCCTGAGCCCTGATGAGGCATGTATATGACCAACCCCATGACCTCACCGATTGCAGTAAAAATATCTTGACACTTTTAGTTATTTTGGAAATGTTGCATTATCCCTCCTATGTTTCTTTTGAAATATCCATATAGGGAAAAAAAAAGACTTGATAGTAGACTAGGGATAGGATTAAAAACCAGCAGATCAGTGGGAGCTTATAAAAAGGCAGAGTTGCCTTTGTCACTGTAAGATATTAGAGAGGTGCTTTGAGTAATGCTATTTACTGAGCACCTTAAATTTACCTGGCATAGCTGAGAAAGTAAATTGAATTTTCAATTTCCAGAGGATATGTGGGTGAGCTCTTGAGATCTTTGTAAATGTTTGAAATGTATGTACACTTGATTGTGTCTATAAATGTTGTTCTGGGAAGTGAGTCCCCAGCTTTTATCTGAGTCGCAAAACCGCCTGAAAGACTGTGAAGTGCTCTTTTAAGTCTTTGTGGGAGAAAGCAAAGCTAAGTACAGACGGTGAGTATACCATCTTGTAACCATTGCTTTTTCTCCTTTTCATCTTTTCCTGTCTTCAGCTGTAGGTGGCTCCCCCAGATTATTACAGAGAGGAAAAACCTGCAATCTGAGACATAGACCCCAGATAAACTGTACCATTCTAGAAGAGGTGATGGCTGTGGCCCTGGGTTGTGCAATCCAGGCCTCCTTGAATCAGGGCTCTGTGCTGCAGGAGTATGACACTGACTGTGAAGTCTTCCGACAACGTTTCAGGCAGTTCCAGTACACAGAAGCTGCCGGGCCTCATGAAGCATTCAACAAACTCTGGGAGCTTTGCTGTCAGTGGCTGAAGCCAAAGATGCGTTCTAAGGAACAAATCCTGGAACTGCTTGTGCTAGAGCAATTCCTAACTATTCTGCCCACAGAAATAGAGACCTGGGTGCGGGAACACTGCCCAGACAATAGAGAAAGAGTTGTGTCACTCATTGAAGACTTACAGAGAGAGCTTGAGATACCAGAACCACAGGTGAGAAACAAAATGTGGAGTCTCTGTTCTTAAGGAAACAAAAAGAGCTACCCAGGCCATCGGGTCTGTATCCATCATCTTGACTCTGATGATTCCACAGCCCCAAGACTTCTCTCTAGAGACTTTGCAGTGTTCTCTTCTGCTGGAATCAGCATATGTGTGTGAGGTTCTCCACTGGATCGGACCCCATGCCCTCTTTAGGACACACATATGGGAATGCCCCAGTTACTATTATTAAATGAAATTTGCAGACAGCCTAGCTTAGCTAGAAACACCAATTACAGTTACCAATACTTTCCTCTATGGCTTGCTAGCCAGCTCCTGCCATGGTATGATTGATTGTGACTTCTAAGTGTCTAGTGGTTTTTACTTTGTTAATGAATTTCTTTTCAAAACAGAAGGAGGAGAGGATAGGGTAAATGTGCGCCACACATTCTAAACTATATACTGTTTGTTTCTTTCCAGAATGATCTGGCTGACACTGAGTCAAGTAGAGTATAGAGAATGCAAAGAAAGGCAACCTAGCTTAGTGTCAACTACTAGGTATTTCTCCAGTGTATGTGTTCTTCACTGCATGGGAAGACATCATGAAGTGGTCCTATGCCAGCACCTCTGCTTTCAATTACTGTGATGGGACAGTCAGGAATTCTGACCAAGGTTCCAGCGCTATGAGTAGTGTTGTCCCTGGTGATGTGATTTTACAAAGGGGCCAAAAAATTTCTCGGTAAAGGGCAATAAATTCTGTGGTTTTCTCTGGTTTGTGCAAAAGTGCTAAAAATAATACACAAAAGTTATTTGCTTTCTACCTTATCAGTAGGATGTGGTTCTTGCTAGGTTCTTTTCACCTACATGAAGGTTTGAAGAAGGAGTCCCAAGTTGGGGAGAGTGTAGGAAGAGCTCTGCCTTGTAAGTGATGGGCCCATATCTGGCCCATTGAATTCCAGTAGCAGCTCCTGCCCGCATATTGCCTTGTGTTCAGAACCACCTCTCGTGACTTCTGTTCGGGGAAGGTGTAAGTGCGCAGGTCAAGCTGAACACAGGGCACTCTTCTCAGAAGCAAATAGCAGGCGCTTCTACCTGACCCTCGAAAGCTCTGCGGCTTGAGACTGGGGTTCCTAGAGCAGTTGGCTTCACTGCAAGTCGTGCCTTGCTTAGGAAGTCCCCTGAGGTCCCAGCATCCCTAGGGTAGCAGTGGGGAGTAGTTTCCCTTACTTTCCACAGCTTCCTGGTTTGGGTGAAAATAGAAGATTTCTTCTTTGGGAGGTCTGGGCATTCGTTGCACATGTTAGGAGTTGCAAACCACTCCTGGCACTTGATCACTCAAATGCACTTACAGTGCAGCTGGATCAGCTGTGAGTGTGAAATGCACACTCCCCACAGAGACTTTGTATGAAGAAAGGAGCAGGTGGAATAACTCACTAGTAATTATTTGTGTTGATTACTATTGAAATCCTGGTACTTTGTATATGTTGTAATAAGCACATCCTCGTTCAGTCAACTCTCCTGTTTTTGTTTGTTTAGTTGGTTGGTTGGTTGGTTGGTTGGTTGGTGTTTTTAATGCATTGCCTCCAGGAACTCCTGGAGACTTTAAAGCTACATGTGTGGCTCATGATACGGTTGGTGAGGAATGGCTGACTTAGAAAGAGGTAAACTGGCTTTACTTCCAGTGGAGTCTAGACTTTGGAGTGATGTTGTTGGCCTCTCTCTCAGATTGATATGGATGACATGCTCTTGGAAGAACTGGCACCAGTTGGAACAGTGCCCATGCCACCCAGCTTGCACCTGGAGGCACCTGCACTCCAAGTCATGGAACCTGTCCAGGAGCCCCCAGTGCCAGAGGCCTGGATCACACAAGCAGGACCACAGGACCTAAACTACAGTGCTGATGCTGAATGTCAGTCCTTTCTGGACCCGGGTAAGGCAAGGCTTTTATTTGAGTTCTGGGTTTCTGTTTGACAGCTGAAGAACTTGGAGGTTTCAGTTTGAGTTAGAAATAGGAATCCTCCAATGGCCCTGGACCACTGACATAAAGAAGTGGAGGGCTGAGAACAGGAGGAGGGAATCTCTCTCTAGGAACACCAGGGAGTGAGGCACATTGGCTAGAATGTCCTTGGGAGCTGGCTATAGTGATGGCCTTGCCCAAGGGGCTTTTCACCAAGAGTGCTATTTGGGAAAACCTCTTGTGGGAGTTCAGATCCTCTGGTGAGGACAGTTGTCCACCAAATTTTAAGCCTGCAAGGTGAGATCCAAAGGGCCGGTTGCTTTTACAGTCTAGAAAGCCCCATTGGAGTAGAGTACTTTGCAACATTCTCTCTTCAGGTCCGTAAAAGAATGCAGTCATTCATAAGAGGCGAAAAAAATGTCAATTTCTCCGGGCTGTGGTGGTGCATGCCTTCATTCCCAGCACTCAGGAGGCAGAGACAGGCAGATCTCGTGAGTTTGAGGTCAGCCTGGTCTACAGAGAGTTCCAGGACAGTCAGGGCTACACAGGGAAACCCTGTCTCGAAAAACAAACTAAAGAAATGTCAATTTCATAAAATCCCAAACTAGGATAGTGTTTCTAGACCTCCTGCATCAGCCTAATCCAGAGAAGTGCTATACACACTAATGTTTGAAGCCCACTGGCTCTGGCATAACAGGGTGAGTCCTAAAGGAGCCAGGTCCAGTAGACAAAGGCAGCCGGGCCGTGCAGCCTGCATGGCCCTGTGTTTCCCGTCCCTTTGGAGTTCTTTCACACCATTGTCCACGTTCTCTGCCCCGTTTCTTCCCTCACTCCCATGAAAGATTTGGCTCAAGTGTGGCTGGAATCCTTGAACATGGACTAAACTGTGGATATCACTTGGACTAAAACTATGATACTGAGACAACAAAAGAAAACAGCAAAGTGGAAATCAGTGAGAACAACCCAAGTTACAAAATAGAACTACCTGATGCATGAATAACTAGCAAAAGCTAAGGCCTAGAATTCCTTTTTACAGTTTCATATTAATTCAGCCAACATCAGGAGCGCCTGTGAAGACCCAGGCTAGACACTGGGGATTCATTGGTACACACAGCAGAAAAGCAGCCTTAGCCATCCTGGAGCTCCAAGTCTGGTGGGCCGTGGACACATTCCATGTATGATGTGATGGAAGCAATCCTAGAGGGCATAGGGTGATGATGAAGCACATAGGAGAGTCACCTTACCACCAGCTAAGGACTGACTCCGGGAGGAGGGGCTTAGGGGAAGCACCAATGGAAAGGAACCAGAATGGGCTTGCTGAGCAGGCAGTGCAGATGGAGAGGGGGAGAAGTAGAGTAGAAGAAGCACCGCCTGCAGAGGCTCCGGGGCAGAAAGAACACCTGCATTTGCACTGGGAGGGGCCGACAGAAGCAGACCAGCCAAGGTGGTAATCATGGAGAGGTAAAGGCAATTTCACAAATATTTAGTGTATGTGAAACATAGGGCTTGTCACTGACTGACTGGTTCTTGGGTAATGAACAAGAAAGGTGAACGATGCCGCCTAGGTCTCTGGCCCATGACCTGGATAAATGGCAGTCTCACTCACTAGCATAGAGAACTCAGAGGAAGGCTGGTTTTTCATAGGTCAAGATAAGCTTAAGGTATGACCACACCAGGCCAGAATATTTTTAAATGATGGTAAGAAAGAAAAAAAAAAACACCCTAAAGTCCATAGTTAAACATATTGGTTGAAGCAGTACTATATAATATTATCATTTATATTATAGTGTTTATATTGCCTTCATTTCAGATTCTGTTAAGAAGTTTAAATTTAGCTGGGTGGTGGCAGTGTACACCTTTAATCCCAGCACTCAGGAGGCAGAAGCAGGCAGATCCCTGAGTTTGAGGTCAGCCTGGTCTACAGAGTGAGTTCCAGGACAGCCAGGGTTGTTACACAGAGAAACCCTGTCTCAAAAAAACCAAAGTAAAGAAAACCCAGAAGTTTCCATTTTTTTTCATGTATGTTCACAATTAATTTTAGAACTTAGCCATCCTACTCAATTATAAATCTGTATATTCATTCTGTTTTTGCATGTGATTTCTTTCTTGTCTCAATATTGCAGGTACATAATCATAGAGCAGTAGTATTAATCTTACTATTCATATTCATTTTCATACTTTCTAAAGCATATTGACATTCAGACATTCAGTGTATTTTTAAAAAGAGACATAATAATGAATCAAGTAAAAAGTAAAAATTGGAAGAAATTATCCTATTTAAAATGATGCAAAATGATGCAAGACTTACTGTCACATTATTTATTTAAAAGTTAGTTAAAATTTTATTTTTTTAAAAAATGAAAGCATCTCAATATTTTGCATGATATCATATTGGAGATTGAGTGAAAAATCATAAGATAATGGTTAATGGGGGGAAAATGTAAAAGTCATACACGAAATCCATTGAGTTTATCTGAAAGTCTGGACCATATCCCCTGTCAGTAAAAACTGAAGTTTGGGAGGATATATGTAATATGTATATGCAGATTAATCATTTAATTATAGTGATTTAACTACTACCACATTTGCTAATTGCAAAATTAAGAAAAGAACTTAAATGGAAACTGCAAATAGATCTAACAAAGACAAAAGCTTTAAGAATTCCCTCATTGCCGGGTGGCAGCGGCGGCGCACGCCTTCACTCCCAGAACTTGAGAGGCAGAGGCAGGTGGATCACTCTGAGTTCAAGGCCAGCCTGGTCTATAAATTGAGGTCTAGGGCAGCCAGGACTGTTACACAGAGAAACCCTGTCTCAAGAAACCAAAAGAAAAAAAGAAAAAAATCCCTTCATTTGGGGCTGGAGAGATGGCTGAGTGCTTAATCGCTTACTGTTCTTGCAGAAAACCCAGGTTTGATTCCCAGCACCCACGTAATGGCTCACACCTCTGTGAAACTCTAGTTCCATGGGACCCAGCACCCTCTTCTAGCCTCCACAGGTTCTTGCACACACGTGGTACACATTCATACACTCAGGTGTACACACATACACATAAACTAAATATTAAAAAAAATAAACAGTTCCCGCCAGCACTCGGGAGGCAGAGCCAGGTAGATCTCTGTGAGTTCGAGGCCAGCCTGGTCTACAGAGTGAGATCCAGGACAAGCACCAAAACTACACAGAGAAACCCTGTCTCAAAAAACCAACAAAATGAAAAAACAGTTCCCTCACTTAACTTTATGCCTGACACCCTAGAACTTTGGGAGATTGTAGACTTTCTTCAATCAGAAAGAAAAAGGGTAAGGGGATGCTAGGCCTGAAAGCTTAAACTGTGTCATATAAATTCGAACTTAGAAAATGTGGAGTCCAATTTAGTGCCTCAGAACTAGAACACATTTTCAATTGCCTAAGCTCTGGATTTTTTGACTCGGTTAATGAGATTTCACTTTGAGTACATGCAAGATGTCAAAGAACACACCCTTTTGGTGTGCTAAATGATAAGAGAGATGAACATTTAAAGTAAAATGTAAATACATGTCATCTGTAAACATCAGAAGATTTTTTTTCTTTTGTTTTATTTTGTTTTGTTTTTTGAGACAGGGTTTCTCTATGTAACCTTGGTTGTCCTGGAACTCACTCTGTAGACCAGGCTGGCCTCGAACTCACAGAGATTCACCTGCCTCTGACTCCCAAGTGTTGGGATTAAAGGCATGTGTAACCACCGCCACCACCACCCGGATTAATTTTTTTTTAAATATGTGTATTGCGTTTGTGTGTGGATATGTGCATGTGAGTGCAAGTTCCCATGGAGGCCGAAGGAGAGTATTGGTTTCCCTGAAGCTGTAGTTATAATAGTTGTAGACCCCTCAGGTGGGTGCTGGGAACTGAACCCAGGTCCTCTGCAAGAGCTGTGCATGCTCTTAACCGCTGAGCCATCTCTCTAGCCTGAGAAGATTTTTTAATTTGTATTTATTTATTTTGTATGTGCGTATGTGTTCATGTACATTCATGTGTGAATATCAGAAGAGAATTTGCGGGAGTCAATTTTCTCCTACCATGTGAGCTCCTAGTGTCAAACTTAGATCTTCCTACTTGTGGGCAAACAGTCTTACCTGATGAGCCATCTCCTAGCTGAGAAGGTTATTGTAACGTGAACTTCTTCAGAATTTCCTGTTAGAGTAAATGCTAATATAAGTCATATCTAATGGCCAGTATAGTAATGACACCTCCTAGAGCAGCCGTTGTGACACGATCTTTGCTAAGTGGAGCTTAGTAAAATGCTTCACTGAACACTGGATGAGAACACTATTGAAGTACCTTTCTTAACCTCCAATTTTTATCCTTTATATCACACTCCACTATATCATTTCTTTTGCACCGTATTCCGCAATTAGAAATCACCTCTGAAGTTCAGCAGCTTAAAGGAGAAAGTGAAAAGAGGGGGTGCTTTAAACACACACACACACACACAATTTCTATGAGCCAGGAATTTCCAGCAAGTTTCCAGTGTTTTTTCTGGCTCAGTCTCTGAAAACTAGCAGAGCCCTCGCTTCCTTGCTAAGGGAAGGGGACTTCTCCATATGCATGTCCTCAGGACAGGCAGCAGGCTCCTCTCATAGCAGCTGATCGAAAAGAAAGCAATACATGTGCCACGACGTTGTTGGTAACCCAGTCACACACTATCACTTCTGCAATATTCTCATTAGAACAAAGTCACAGATCCAACCCACACTTAAAGGGGAAAGAGAAACTCTCGCTTGATGAAGACTGTAAAATAATTCAAGGGCTTATTTTAAAACAGCCATTTACCCATTTTTTCTTGCATCTAAAAATTGGATCCATTTTCAGCAATGATTTAGTAGTGAGGGTGGGCACCATTTACTTGTGTGTAGTTATCTAGATGTCACCATGTGTTTTCATGGGAAGCCTAAAAGTAAAAAGCCTGTTCGTTTTCATTGAATGTCCTTGGGACTTT